TGTTAAATAGTGCTCAATACATCAATTGTAGAGAGATATAGAAATACCACTGTTAAAATAGTCCTCAATACATCAATTGTAGAGTGATATAGAAATACCACTGTTAAAATAGTACTCAATACATCAATTGTAGAGTGATATAGAAATACCACTGTTAAAATAGTACTCAATACATCAATTGTAGAGAGATATAGAAATACCACTGTTAAAATAGTATTCAATACATCAATTGTAGAGAAATATAGAAATACCACTGTTAAAATAGTACTCAATACATCAATTGTAGAGTGATATAGAAATACCACTGTTAAAATAGTGCTCAATACATCAATTGTAGAGTGATATAGAAATACCACTGTTAAAATAGTGCTCAATACATCAATTGTAGAGTGATATAGAAATACCACTGTTAAAATAGTGCTCAATACATCAATTGTAGAGTGATATAGAAATACCACTGTTAAAATAGTGCTCAATACATCAATTGTAGAGTGATATAGAAATACCACTGTTAAAATAGTGCTCAATACATCAATTGTAGAGTGATATAGAAATACCACTGTTAAAATAGTGCTCAATACATCACTTGTAGAGTGATATAGAAATACCACTGTTAAAATAGTGCTCAATACATCAATTGTAGAGTGATATACAAATATTTAAACAGAACTGATTATTTTTTTTGGAACCCCCAAACATCCACCAGCACGTAGCTACCCCCCCTTCCCTAATCTGTATAACTGTACTCACCATCTTGTGACATGCCAGCATTAAGACATCTCTGATATCGACAGTATTGACATTTATTCCTCGACCCCATATCTATTTTACACTGTGACCCCATTTGACACGGCTTATATACCAACGATTTCTTTAGGGTTCGTCGGAAAAAACCCTGAAAATAAAATTCATATTACATCATATACCAGGATATATCAATAATAAACATTATTTTCAGTTCTATACAAATTAAAATTCATATTCCCAAGGGTTCTGGTCAAACCTGGACCTTGAACAATCTTTTTGGAAAACAACTTAGGTTCTCAAAATCCCTGCCTACTAGATAGTTTCTGGTAAAACCCTTGACAATGACAAATACACCATTAGCTACAGAGATCCCGAGTTGTCAAACCCTGTCCCAGAGTAGTATCAGGTGTTAAAGATGGGTATGTCCTGTCTGGTTAGAATCACCTGTAAATAACAATTATAATGACCTACCTTACACCCCTCGCAGGAATGGACTCCATAATGAAAGCCTGAGGCCCTGTCTCCACAGATTCTACACAGTACATCCAGTTCATTGGTGTATTGAGGTTTGGGGATGCACTGAAATAGAAACATTCAGTCAGTGGTATGGACTAGTCGGAAACCGTGAAGTTTCCTTTTCAACTTTCAGGCATTTAAATACTGTGTAATATATACACACCCTGACAAGGACTGAATGTGACAGTTCTGTTAACTCTCTGAAAAGAGAATCATATAAGTGGGGGTCTATGGAGTGGGGTGCTCCCTGGGAAATTGTTCTTTAACATATGCTCCCCTGCATATATTTCTGGGGCTTGCAGTCCTTTGGATTTGGTTCAACAAACCCTTGGGTAATTGAGGCACTGCCAATCAAGTTTAGAAGTTAGCTTACCTTGCCACCATCAGATGAGACACTGGGACTTCGTGATAAAGGTTCCCGTAATGAGGGAGACATGGCTGAAAGATGGGGATACAGATACGACGACGATTGTGACGATTCTTCATGAAGAAAGGCAGCAGATAGTTGGTTATCCTCCATCATTCTTCCTCCAAAAACATCAAAACACATGGTGGGCATCACTTGGTCGTGGTCATAATATCCTTCGTAAGGATCTCCCAGTAAATCTATAAATAGAACATACACAAACCTTATTATTACTATCAAACCCGACAAATCCAGCCTTACCCACTTCTAAGACTTGATAACTGAATGTTATTTGATAGTGTTATTTAAAGACTATGTTATTTGACTGAAAGACTATGTTATTTGACTGAAAGACTATGTTATTAGACTGAAAGACTATGTTATTTGACTGAAAGACTATGTTATTTGACTGAAAGACTATGTTATTTGACTGAAAGACTATGTTATTTGACTGAAAGACTATGTTATTTGACTGAAAGACTATGTTATTTGACTGAAAGACTATGTTATTAGACTGAAAGACTATGTTATTTGACTGAAAGACTATGTTATTTGACTGAAAGACTATGTTATTTGACTGAAAGACTATGTTATTTGACTGAAAGACTGTGTTATTTGACTGAAAGACTATGTTATTAGACTGAAAGACTATGTTATTTGACTGAAAGACTGTGTTATTTGACTGAAAGACTATATTATTAGACTGAAAGACTATGTTATTAGACTGAAAGACTATGTTATTTGACTGAAAGACTGTGTTATTTGACTGAAAGACTGTGTTATTTGACTGAAAGACTATGACTGAAAGACTATGACTGAAAGACTATGTTATTTGACTGAAAGACTATGACTGAAAGACTATGACTGAAAGACTATGACTGAAATGACTGATATGTTATTTGACTGAAAGACTATGACTGAAAGACTATGTTATTTGACTGAAAGACTGTGTTATTTGACTGAAAGACTATGTTATTTGACTGAAAGACCATGACTGAAAGACTATGACTAAAAGACTATGTTATTTGACTGAAAGACTATGACTGAAAGACTATGACTGAAAGACTATGTTATTTGACTGAAAGACTGTGTTATTTGACTGAAAGACTATGTTATTTGACTGAAAGACTATGACTGAAAGACTATGACTAAAAGACTATGTTATTTGACTGAAAGACTGTGACTGAAAGACTTTGACTGAAAGACTATGACTGAAAGACTATGTTATTTGACTGAAAGACTATGACTGAAAGACTATGACTGAAAGACTATGACTGAAAGACTATGTTATTTGACTGAAAGACTATGACTGAAAGACTATGACTAAAAGACTATGTTATTTGACTGAAAGACTATGACTGAAAGACTTTGACTGAAAGACTATGACTGAAAGACTATGACTGAAAGACTATGTTATTTGACTGAAAGACTGTGTTATTTGACTGAAAGACTATGTTATTTGACTGAAAGACTATGACTGAAAGACTATGACTAAAAGAATATGTTATTTGACTGAAAGACTATGACTGAAAGACTATGACTGAAAGACTATGTTATTTGACTGAAAGACTGTGTTATTTGACTGAAAGACTATGACTGAAAGACTATGACTGAAAGACTATGACTGAAAGACTATGTTATTTGACTGAAAGACTATGTTATTTGACTCAAATCTATGTTATTTGACTATGTTATAAGACTGTGTTATTAGTTGGTTCCCATACTGTTTGACCTGTAATCTATATAAGTCTGATGTAATGAGGAAATAAGTTATCAGTGACTCACAAGAAATGAGTGCATTGTCAAACTCCAGCAAAGGACCACTGTGATATTCTATATCCGAATCGTGTTTCAATCAAGTGATGTATTGAATGGGATATCCTGTATTACTTTAAGATGACTTCAATAATGAAAGTGGCCATGAGTTCCTCTAATGAAAATGATTTTTCAGTTGCCTTCGATATTTTTATTCGCAAATATTATTAGCAGTTTTTCTAATAAAGACATCATAAGATAAATCTCAGTTTAAGTGTAATTACAGGAACCACAGACGTCTTCATGAAGATTGGAATGGTGCAAATCGAAGCCACCAGTGTCCCTGATACATATGTAAAATGTAGATAAACCCTGCTACTTGTAGACACATCAGTCTTAGTCATGAATTGTTAACTATAGTTAATCCTCTATCTCTATGTTGACTAATATTTTGTGACTAAATTATAGAGTGATTAAAGCTAGTTATCAAAGTGACATTAAGATGTTAGAATTAACATATAAAATAGACACCCTAGCTAAAAGGTTTTAGCATGAGCCAAGCAACAATACTACATATGATTTTGCTTGGTGATTAGTGTTGAAACGGTTAATCAGTTAACCGATTTTGGGTAGTATTTCGCGGGTAACCGGGTCTGATTTGTGACAATCGGTTAACCATCAATTTTATAAGAAGTAAACCGAGAGCAATTTTGACAGAAATTTCGTCACTGTATGAGTCTTTAAGCTGTTTTCTTTAGTAAATAAACATCTTTATTGATTGAATAATTGAGATAAATCAAGATAGGGTATCAATTATCAAAACACTATTACTTTTTATTAACTCTCTTCTAATGGGCTGTTGTTTCTTCTTGTCTGTCATTCAAGCTTATTAATATTCATGAGTACGGATTCATTGAGACAATAGATTTATACCAGTTTTATACTGACGACTTCAGTGAGATACACTGTTACACTGACCCCACAACTGTTGATCTGTTGGAGACTGTAGCAATGAGTGACAATGGCGCCAGTCCGTCTGAATTCTGTCAGGCCCGCTGGTAATCTTACATATCAGAAGCAGACACTTCAATGGGTTGTTTGGTATCTGTCAATTTGTACTCACAATTCGCGGGGGGAACTAGACAAAATCTTCCTGGGTACTCATTTACACTTACTCTAGTTTAGTTAACGGTGAGTTACCACCCCAATTGCAGTTTTTGACCCCTTTTATAATCTTAAGTGATAAACATGGATTAATAAAGATCACTAACCGTTTCAACACTATTGATGATACAACAATCTCTTACTCTACACAAACAGATATAAACATTATGTTAGTATGTAGAGTTTAGTGCAATTGGGTTATGTTGAAATAATTGCAATGTAAAGCAGGTCGTCATGTACTTCTATTATATCTGCTTAGATTGTTTTATTTGAATGAGGTTTTCTCGTTTTTATATTTATATCAGGACCACTTACAGCTTGTATTAACACATTATGATTTCCACTCTGACAACAGTGGTTCCTGTAATTCAAGAAAATATTAAAGGGATTGTTAAGAGTTTTTCTAAATTTTTTTATGTATATCAGGGACTATGATAGCATCAATTTGCGCCATTTCAATTTTCAATCAGATGTCTGTGGTTCCTGCAATTCCACTAAAACTAAGGATTTTATGACGTCACTAATCACGAAGGGCCCTATGTGATGAAGCATATTTTTGTGATTAGTGACGTCATCAAACGCTTAGTTTTAGAGAAACTGCAGGAACAACAGACGTCTGATTGAAAATTGGAATGATGTATGTCTCAAATCCATCTTGTATTTAATGATCTAATTATATTTGCATTCTAATTATTAAAAATAAAAGCTAATATAAAACAGGAAGAAAGTTTGGTATAATTTTAATTAGACTAATCTATTTAAATATTATTACAGTATTAAACTAGAATAGTATAAACTTATCTCCCTTGTTTAACTATAAACTACTGTATTGTGTTTTAGGCTCTGTTGTTTTATGATGAATGTTATGTAAGATTTCATTTTGACAAGTGCCTAGCTAGCTCAAGGTAGGTATTTGACAGATGTCAGTTAGCTAAGGTCATAAAAAATTGACAATTGGAAGGAGTTTCAAATAACCCTCTAAGATTGAACTGTCGTATTAACATTATTTGTTTCTGAGATGCCATCTTTCAAATTTTGTATTGGATGTCTTAACTCTACAATTAAATTAACTTCTATAGCCAACTAGATGTCTCAGATGTCAGTTAGCTAGGGTTATGAAAACTTGACAATAAGGAGATCAATTCGAGATTTAACATTGGATAATATGATACTACATCAGAATATTGTACAATATCTTAACACAATCTAACCTGATGATGGGTTACCCACCCGAAACATGTTATAGAATATAGGTGTAAAGATGGGATATCAGAATATTGTACAATATCTTAACACAATCTAACCTGATGATGGGTTACCTACCCGAAACATGTTATAGAATATAGGTGTAAAGATGAGATATCAGAATATTGTACAATATCTTAACACAATCTAACCTGATGATGGGTTACCCACCCGAAACATGTTATAGAATATAGGTGTAAAGATGAGATATCAGAATATAGAATATAAATAAGTAAGATGAAGTCAACTGTTATAAATTATTATTTATTAAATAGGATATACTATAGAGTCACTCATGTATTCCTTGATACATCAGTAAGCATGACAATACTGGCAATTAAGAAATGTCATTGAGCCAGAGCAAGAAAAACTATACCCTTTCTTGGAATTAGTCAGGAAATATACACAACTTTGATAGATAAAACAAAAGTTGATGGCAAAAGGTAAGCTTGCCAATACTGGTATTGTTCAATTCCTAGATTGATACAGTTATGTTAGTGAATGTCAATTAGCTAGAGCCAGAAAAACTATCCTTTCTTGTGGTTTGTCAAGGAATAGACACAGTACACATATCAAAATGTTGATAGATAAAACATTAGTCAAGCATGTCATGGTTGTTTATTTGCTAGTCTGATCTTGATTCATGTTTGTTAGTGAATTTCAATTAGCTAGAGTCAGAAAAACTATCCTTTCTTATGGTTTGCCAAATCGTAACAAAATCAAAACTTTATTATACTTTTCGAGATGTAACTTAAAGACTCTTCAGTGACAAAATCTGAGTTTACTGTCTGTGTTCTAGTCTTAGATTGATATATTTGGTAATAGATGTCATCTAGCAAGAACCAGAAAAACTAACATCTATCAAAGAGTATGAGATGGAATACTTTAAATAATAACACCATGACGTATCCTATAAACTTATCTCAGAGTTTCCTATTTGGACAGCAATTTCTTTAAAGTACATCATTAGAAGATTTTTGAAGTTCTCAACATCAATAAATAACACTTCAACAACAAATGGAAAATCCCAGACTATATCCTTGTCGTAGACAGAGATAGTTTGATAGTTTGGGCATCACAGACTAAAACTAATTGTACTACAATGTATGACTTATTGTACTACAATGTATGACTTATTGTACTACAATGTATGACTTATTGTATTTCCAAATGAAGTGAGCAATTCCTACTGTACTATGGCTATGAGCCAGTAAAAGAAAAAAGACAAACTAACTTACCAAAGTGATGAGTAGGCACGGTGGTGGGGTGATATTCCTCCCCTAATAGCATTTAAATAATCCAAGAAAAAACTTCACAAAGTACAGATTAGAACGAGAAAAATTTAACAAATCACACACCTCACTTTCCAAAGTTTGGTTTCAATAGAATATACAGTATAAGTATATCTATGTTAGGTTACCACGACAAACTATACAAGTATAAAGTCCATCAAGGCCGGTACGTATCAGCATTATTTTCACAGAATACTCTACTACTTATATAATTCCAAAATATTAACAGTTGTCCAACGTTGTTGAAGCGAAGAGTAAGCACTGAACGAGTCAAGTGTGTGTTTCTGTATAA